GGTAGAACAAGAAGCAATGGGTGGAAACTAATCAAGAAGAGAAGCAACCTAGAACTCAGGAGAACTTTCCTGACAGTTAGAACAATTAATCAGTGGAACAGCTTGCATCCAGAAGTTGTGAATGCTCCAATACTGGAAATTTTTAACAAGATGTTGGATAGCCATTTGTCTGAAGTGGTGTAGGGTTTCCTGGCTAGACAGGAGGTTGGACTAGAAGACCTCCAAGGTCCCTTCCAACTCTGCTATTGTATTTATTGTATTAAGGTTAATTTCAGTGGTTGGATTCTGTCCATGGAGGCATGTGACTCTTTTTATTGATAGAGCCACTCAGTGCCTAGTGTCAGAATGTTGAATAATTAAATTATTCAAGAGAAAAAGACCCTGTTTCATTATTGATGGCAGGACATTTTTTTTCTTTGTGGCTTTCTTGTGACGTATATTTTCATGGAGGCCAGGAATAAGAAGTTCCAATAGGTGATAAATAAAACATAGTGCCATTGGTTATGATAATGGAACACAACCATGAAACAAAAATAGAAGTAAGGATTGGGCCTTATCCAAAGGAGAGGGCAATGGAGAAATGTTTAGGAGATTTTGAAAAGCTAGTAGCTACATGTTGAGTCTAAGCTCATTGTGGCCAATTAGATTTAACAAGAGGAAACTTTTAAGGTCTCCAGCAAATTATTCAATTTTCTATTTCTCTCTGTGGTTAACAACACTTGATAGATCAACGTGGACTCGACTTCTCAACTGCAGAAAGCTTAGGGGGGGGGGGGAATTATGCTTTATGAGTGGAAATAGAAGCGGTTTTACTTTCCTTAATTTGTGTGTGGGGGGGGGAGAAAAACCCCAAGCAGTTGGCCACAAATCATGCATCCCTGCAATAAACAATTATAAAACAATGAAATAAATATATACAGTATGTCACAGAAGTGAGTGCACCCCCTCACATTTTGTAAATGTTCTAAATACATCTTTTCATGTGACAACACTGAAGAAATGACACTTGGCTACAATGTAGTGAGCATACCGCTTAATATGCTGTCCTCTCCAAATAACCCAACACACAGCCATTAATGTCTAAACTCTGGCAACAAAAGTGAGTACACCCCTAAGTGATAATGTCCAAATGGGGACCAAAGTGTCAATATTTTGTGTGGCCACCATTATTTTCCAGCACTGCCTTAACCCTCTTGGGCATAGAGTCCACCAGAGCTTCACAGGTTGCCAAAGGAGTCTTCTTCCACACCTCCATGACAACATCACAGAGCTGGAGGATGTTAGAGACCTTGCACACCTCCAGCTTCCATTTCAGGATCCCCCACAGATGCTCAACAGGGTTTAGGTCTGGAGACATGCTTGGCCAGTCCATCACCTTTACCTTCAGCTTCTTTAGCAAGACAGTGGTCATTTTGGAGGTGTGTTTGGGGATCGTTATCCTGTTGGAATCCTGCCCTGCGGCCCAGTCTCCAAAGGGAGAGGATCATGCTCTGCTTCAGTATGTCACAGTACATGTTGGCATTTATCGTTCCCTCAATGAACTGTAGCTCCGGCAGCACTCATGCAGCCCCAGACTACATACATTCCCACCATCATGCTTGACTGTAGGCAAGACACGTTTGCCTTTGTACTCCTCATCACTAACAGGTCACATGACACTAGGGAGGGAAAATGGCTACTTGGACCCCATTTGGACATTATCACTTAGGGGTGTACCCACTTTCATTGCCAGCAGTGTAGACATTAATGGCTGTGTGTTGCATTATTTTGAGGGGACAGCACATTTACACTGTTATACAAGCTGTATACTCAACTACTTTACATTGTATCCAAGGGTCATTTCTTCAGTATTGTCACATGAAAAGATAAATATTTACAAATTGCGAGGGGGTGTACTCACTTCTGCGATAGGAAATATTTTAAAATATCTAAAATCACTATCCCATTCAAAATCTAATGTGGTTTTGCAAACAAAGAAGAAGATAGTATTTAAAATAAGTCTGTAGTATTTAAAATAATATTTTTAAAAAGGCTGTCATATCTGCTCCTTTTCTAAAGGCCACAGTTGAGGCAGAAGCCAATCGCCTTTTTGTAAGCAGAAGAGTTTCAATTTGGGTTATGGGAAACCATCTCCAATTTTTTTGAAAGAATGGTTTTCCACTGACTTTTGCGTTTGAAAGGGCTGCCCTAAAGGCATAGTGGCTGTGGCAGGGGTGGGTTCCTACTGGCGAACAACTGGTTCTCTTCACACACGCTTTGCCATACCGGTAGAAACCCACCACTGGGCTGTGGTGATTTCATCTGTGTTTTGTGTTCATTGAAGGGAAGTGTTCCACTGTTGTACAAAATAAAAGGTGCTATTAGAATCATAGATTTTTTTTTAAAAGCTAACTAGGTAGGAGATATGAGCTCATTCTTCCTTGATTTAAGGGCTTTGGATTTGGTAGCGCTCAAGAATTGTTCCAGAAAGTGAAGAGAAAAATTCGAAGCCATGAAAATTGTCTCCAATTCTGCTACCATGTAGAGAAGGTTGCAAAGGGTGAATAATCGTTCAGTGTTAACCATAGCCCCGAAGGGCTCTGATACAGCTCATGAGTCAAGGGGATACTACTCATAATCTAGTTCTAATAGCTCTAGAGAAACATACTTGTTAGAGAAAGGGACGCGTGTAAGGGACTAACCCACCTGATTGTGGGAGCTGTGATTACTTAGACAATCAGAACTTTGTCCTCCAAAATAACATTTGCAGGATGGTATCCTTTGTAGGATACAAGCAGAGTTGACCATCTATTCAAGTTGCAGCTTTTACAATAACGTTGCACGGGGAGGGTCAGATAAGAGATTGTTTGGTCGACTTGGTTAACCAAAGGCTGTAGGAATGTGTGCAGCCTACTTTGCAGTAATTGTTCTCTCTGCCTTTGAACTATTAGACCCAGATCAGGGTACTGTTTTATATTTTCAAGCTTTTATTGGTTAACATCATCCTATGGTTACCCATAGGATGAGAGGGATTGAGAGGTACACGGTGGCTCAGTGGCTAAGACGCTGAGCTTGTCGATCAGAAAGTTTGGCAGTTTAAATCCCTAGCGCCACGTAACCGAGTGAGTGCTTGCTCTTCAGTTTTGAGACAGAGATGACCACCGCCACCTAGAGTCGGGAACAACTAGTACATATGTGCGAGGGGAACCTTTACCTTTATAGTTACCCAGTGAGGGCCTATTGGTATGTTCCTTGATTATGAAAAACAAAATCAAGGTTAAAAAGCCTTTGCGGATAATCTATTGTTATAGCATGCGTTTACATTTACCCCTGTGCTGTGCATACCCAGTGGTGCTCAAAGGAGCCCTTTATTTTTAAAAGTGTAGATAACTACTGTACATTCACAGGTTAAGCAGCAAAAAAAAAAAAACGATGTGCTGCCACTAAGCCATTTTCCTTCCCATGTGGTTTGCTAATTGCAGGTCTTAAGTTTCAAAGCTATAAACAATCAGGAGAGCAGCATTTAATTAGGCCCTGGCTGCAGCTTTGAACATTTTCTGACATGTCTTTGAGGGGAAAGGGACTGTTGACTGCATGGGGTTGACATTGGCTGCACTAGGTCAATCTGGCAGACTTCCTCTCCTCCCAGTCTTTCTAGAAGAAAGAAGCAAGGCTAATTTGTTCTAAAACACCAGACCTTTTAGATGTGTGCTGCTACAAAGGGACTTTGCAGTGGGGCTTGTTCAGATGGTCTCCTGAAATCATCAATCTGAGTATAACACAAAAGGATTTTTCCCCCTCAAACAGGGAACTTTCAAGATTTATTGCTGCTGGGAGACTACACTGCAAGATAGACAAAGTCAATGAAATCGTAGAAACCAACAGGTAGCTATCAAGTTTCTTATTGAATATTGTTTAAGGAAGTGGCATTATTTGGATAATAAGAGTAATTATTAATCATTGTAACAGTAACATTACAAGATTTGTGCATTGTAAATTGCTATCCTTCCAATTGTGGTCTAAGGTATACCTTCAGTTACTTCCTCATCTGGGCCAAATTTGAAATAAATATGTAGCCGCAAATACCTTTGCTTTTTTCTGGTTGTGATCTTGCAAGGGAAGACCAATAGTTGTAAAGGAAATACTTTATAAGAGTCTTATTCATAGACTTCTTAGGATGGCAGTTTGAAGGCCAACTGGTGTTGGTACAATATCTCAATAAATGTTCTTTTGTTTTCTTATTGTAGGCCTGACAGCAAAAACTGGCAGTACCAAGAAACCATCAAAAGAGGAGATTTGTTGTTAAATAGGGTGCAGAAGCTTTCTCGAGTAATTAATATGTGAATTTTTTTTTAAAAAAAAAGTAAAACAAAGGAATGCACCATTCAGTCAGAACTTTTCTGGAAGTAATTATTCCTATATTATATAATTTGTACTGTAGGTAAGGAAATGTAACCATGATGTAGTTAGGGCTTTTGCAGTCTTATTTCATTGTGTAAACAACTGAACTGTATGACTATTCATGTTTTTCCGATCATTGTCATTTATTAAATGTACAGTACGGTTGACTGTTCTGTTCTCGAGTTATGGAGTTTAATTTAAAGCTTAGTATTTTTTGTTAACCAGAGGCTGAGCTGTTTTGGCCTTTGTGTTTTGAATGAGAATGCGAGACTGATCTTTCTCAACTTTTCTTATAATAGAAAGAGAACTAGCAGGGCACTTTGGCCGATTGGCACGATTGGCATGATTACTAGATCGTTGTGTTTTACTCCATTAATTTTTCAGATAAAGATACTGAAATTCATAGGCCTCATCTAGCAACAATCATTAATTCAAGTCAACCTTATTATGCTAGGTCAGGCGTGTCAAACTCCTATTTCATTGGAGGTCACATCAGGTTGGGGGAGGCTGGCCAATGGTGGGCATGGCTAGCTCGACATCACTTGAGTTGGGGGCGCCTGTGGTGGACCAAGTGCTCTGCCGGTGAAAATACCCTCCCGAACTCCATTTTTGGCTGCAATGGCCTCCTGCAACCCTCTCCCAAAGTCCATTTTCGCTGGCAGAGAAACCACAGGCTGGTCCTTCGCTGTTTCCAGGGCGGTCTCATGGCCAGATCTAAGCACGCCGCAGGCTGGATCCAGCCCCCAGGTATTGAGTTTGACACCCCTGTGCTAGGTGATAAAAGATACTTTATCTGTTCTCAAATATTTGCTTTATTGGATAGGCCCCAAATCTAACACATTTTTCCCCTCAGTCAATTTCATACCATTTGTAATGTTAGGTATGTGCCTTTTTTAATGATCTGGAACCCCATTTTTCATTATACCTTTTGCAATAAAGTGAAACCTTCATTTGCTTCTTTTTGTATTAAATACAGCCATAATTATATTCCTGATTCCATATTATTTATGAACATAGGAAAAAGCACAACTATCCTTGGTGACATCACAAACCATCCCACTCACCCCCTTTTTTTTGTTTGGACTAGAATTACAGGTTTGTAAGGCCTTTCCCTATTGCCCAGGAGTCTTTGAGAAGTGTTTGAGACTTGAACAGCTTCTCACATTGTGTAATCAAGTCTTGTTTCTCATACTAAGAAGCTGCCAGAGACTTGTATCACTTTTATTTGCATTTAAGGAAACAGGCCAAGAACAGAGCTGGGGTTATTGTCAGACAACTATATTTATTGGATTTTTACACCCACCTATTACTTTTATATGTAACTCAAGGCCGCAAACGTACCTAATACCCCTTTCCTCCACCTGTTTTTTCCACAACAATCCTGTGAAGTGGGTTGGGCTGAGAGAATGTGACTGGCCCAAGGTCACCTAGCCAGNATGGGGACCAAAGTGTCAATATTTTGTGTGGCCACCATTATTTTCCAGCACTGCCTTAACCCTCTTGGGCATAGAGTCCACCAGAGCTTCACAGGTTGCCAAAGGAGTCTTCTTCCACACCTCCATGACAACATCACAGAGCTGGAGGATGTTAGAGACCTTGCACACCTCCAGCTTCCATTTCAGGATCCCCCACAGATGCTCAACAGGGTTTAGGTCTGGAGACATGCTTGGCCAGTCCATCACCTTTACCTTCAGCTTCTTTAGCAAGACAGTGGTCATTTTGGAGGTGTGTTTGGGGATCGTTATCCTGTTGGAATCCTGCCCTGCGGCCCAGTCTCCAAAGGGAGAGGATCATGCTCTGCTTCAGTATGTCACAGTACATGTTGGCATTTATCGTTCCCTCAATGAACTGTAGCTCCGGCAGCACTCATGCAGCCCCAGACTACATACATTCCCACCATCATGCTTGACTGTAGGCAAGACACGTTTGCCTTTGTACTCCTCATCACTAACAGGTCACATGACACTAGGGAGGGAAAATGGCTACTTGGACCCCATTTGGACATTATCACTTAGGGGTGTACCCACTTTCATTGCCAGCAGTGTAGACATTAATGGCTGTGTGTTGCATTATTTTGAGGGGACAGCACATTTACACTGTTATACAAGCTGTATACTCAACTACTTTACATTGTATCCAAGGGTCATTTCTTCAGTATTGTCACATGAAAAGATAAATATTTACAAATTGCGAGGGGGTGTACTCACTTCTGCGATAGGAAATATTTTAAAATATCTAAAATCACTATCCCATTCAAAATCTAATGTGGTTTTGCAAACAAAGAAGAAGATAGTATTTAAAATAAGTCTGTAGTATTTAAAATAATATTTTTAAAAAGGCTGTCATATCTGCTCCTTTTCTAAAGGCCACAGTTGAGGCAGAAGCCAATCGCCTTTTTGTAAGCAGAAGAGTTTCAATTTGGGTTATGGGAAACCATCTCCAATTTTTTTGAAAGAATGGTTTTCCACTGACTTTTGCGTTTGAAAGGGCTGCCCTAAAGGCATAGTGGCTGTGGCAGGGGTGGGTTCCTACTGGCGAACAACTGGTTCTCTTCACACACGCTTTGCCATACCGGTAGAAACCCACCACTGGGCTGTGGTGATTTCATCTGTGTTTTGTGTTCATTGAAGGGAAGTGTTCCACTGTTGTACAAAATAAAAGGTGCTATTAGAATCATAGATTTTTTTTTAAAAGCTAACTAGGTAGGAGATATGAGCTCATTCTTCCTTGATTTAAGGGCTTTGGATTTGGTAGCGCTCAAGAATTGTTCCAGAAAGTGAAGAGAAAAATTCGAAGCCATGAAAATTGTCTCCAATTCTGCTACCATGTAGAGAAGGTTGCAAAGGGTGAATAATCGTTCAGTGTTAACCATAGCCCCGAAGGGCTCTGATACAGCTCATGAGTCAAGGGGATACTACTCATAATCTAGTTCTAATAGCTCTAGAGAAACATACTTGTTAGAGAAAGGGACGCGTGTAAGGGACTAACCCACCTGATTGTGGGAGCTGTGATTACTTAGACAATCAGAACTTTGTCCTCCAAAATAACATTTGCAGGATGGTATCCTTTGTAGGATACAAGCAGAGTTGACCATCTATTCAAGTTGCAGCTTTTACAATAACGTTGCACGGGGAGGGTCAGATAAGAGATTGTTTGGTCGACTTGGTTAACCAAAGGCTGTAGGAATGTGTGCAGCCTACTTTGCAGTAATTGTTCTCTCTGCCTTTGAACTATTAGACCCAGATCAGGGTACTGTTTTATATTTTCAAGCTTTTATTGGTTAACATCATCCTATGGTTACCCATAGGATGAGAGGGATTGAGAGGTACACGGTGGCTCAGTGGCTAAGACGCTGAGCTTGTCGATCAGAAAGTTTGGCAGTTTAAATCCCTAGCGCCACGTAACCGAGTGAGTGCTTGCTCTTCAGTTTTGAGACAGAGATGACCACCGCCACCTAGAGTCGGGAACAACTAGTACATATGTGCGAGGGGAACCTTTACCTTTATAGTTACCCAGTGAGGGCCTATTGGTATGTTCCTTGATTATGAAAAACAAAATCAAGGTTAAAAAGCCTTTGCGGATAATCTATTGTTATAGCATGCGTTTACATTTACCCCTGTGCTGTGCATACCCAGTGGTGCTCAAAGGAGCCCTTTATTTTTAAAAGTGTAGATAACTACTGTACATTCACAGGTTAAGCAGCAAAAAAAAAAAAACGATGTGCTGCCACTAAGCCATTTTCCTTCCCATGTGGTTTGCTAATTGCAGGTCTTAAGTTTCAAAGCTATAAACAATCAGGAGAGCAGCATTTAATTAGGCCCTGGCTGCAGCTTTGAACATTTTCTGACATGTCTTTGAGGGGAAAGGGACTGTTGACTGCATGGGGTTGACATTGGCTGCACTAGGTCAATCTGGCAGACTTCCTCTCCTCCCAGTCTTTCTAGAAGAAAGAAGCAAGGCTAATTTGTTCTAAAACACCAGACCTTTTAGATGTGTGCTGCTACAAAGGGACTTTGCAGTGGGGCTTGTTCAGATGGTCTCCTGAAATCATCAATCTGAGTATAACACAAAAGGATTTTTCCCCCTCAAACAGGGAACTTTCAAGATTTATTGCTGCTGGGAGACTACACTGCAAGATAGACAAAGTCAATGAAATCGTAGAAACCAACAGGTAGCTATCAAGTTTCTTATTGAATATTGTTTAAGGAAGTGGCATTATTTGGATAATAAGAGTAATTATTAATCATTGTAACAGTAACATTACAAGATTTGTGCATTGTAAATTGCTATCCTTCCAATTGTGGTCTAAGGTATACCTTCAGTTACTTCCTCATCTGGGCCAAATTTGAAATAAATATGTAGCCGCAAATACCTTTGCTTTTTTCTGGTTGTGATCTTGCAAGGGAAGACCAATAGTTGTAAAGGAAATACTTTATAAGAGTCTTATTCATAGACTTCTTAGGATGGCAGTTTGAAGGCCAACTGGTGTTGGTACAATATCTCAATAAATGTTCTTTTGTTTTCTTATTGTAGGCCTGACAGCAAAAACTGGCAGTACCAAGAAACCATCAAAAGAGGAGATTTGTTGTTAAATAGGGTGCAGAAGCTTTCTCGAGTAATTAATATGTGAATTTTTTTTTAAAAAAAAAGTAAAACAAAGGAATGCACCATTCAGTCAGAACTTTTCTGGAAGTAATTATTCCTATATTATATAATTTGTACTGTAGGTAAGGAAATGTAACCATGATGTAGTTAGGGCTTTTGCAGTCTTATTTCATTGTGTAAACAACTGAACTGTATGACTATTCATGTTTTTCCGATCATTGTCATTTATTAAATGTACAGTACGGTTGACTGTTCTGTTCTCGAGTTATGGAGTTTAATTTAAAGCTTAGTATTTTTTGTTAACCAGAGGCTGAGCTGTTTTGGCCTTTGTGTTTTGAATGAGAATGCGAGACTGATCTTTCTCAACTTTTCTTATAATAGAAAGAGAACTAGCAGGGCACTTTGGCCGATTGGCACGATTGGCATGATTACTAGATCGTTGTGTTTTACTCCATTAATTTTTCAGATAAAGATACTGAAATTCATAGGCCTCATCTAGCAACAATCATTAATTCAAGTCAACCTTATTATGCTAGGTCAGGCGTGTCAAACTCCTATTTCATTGGAGGTCACATCAGGTTGGGGGAGGCTGGCCAATGGTGGGCATGGCTAGCTCGACATCACTTGAGTTGGGGGCGCCTGTGGTGGACCAAGTGCTCTGCCGGTGAAAATACCCTCCCGAACTCCATTTTTGGCTGCAATGGCCTCCTGCAACCCTCTCCCAAAGTCCATTTTCGCTGGCAGAGAAACCACAGGCTGGTCCTTCGCTGTTTCCAGGGCGGTCTCATGGCCAGATCTAAGCACGCCGCAGGCTGGATCCAGCCCCCGGGTATTGAGTTTGACACCCCTGTGCTAGGTGATAAAAGATACTTTATCTGTTCTCAAATATTTGCTTTATTGGATAGGCCCCAAATCTAACACATTTTTCCCCTCAGTCAATTTCATACCATTTGTAATGTTAGGTATGTGCCTTTTTTAATGATCTGGAACCCCATTTTTCATTATACCTTTTGCAATAAAGTGAAACCTTCATTTGCTTCTTTTTGTATTAAATACAGCCATAAT